AAACTAGAGACCTTCATCAACAGCTGTCTTCGCTCAATACTACTCAATATCAGATGGCCGGCCAGAAGATATCAGCAATAGGGATCTCTGGAAATGAGCGAACCAAATAAGCAGGAAGAAATGGAGGTGGATTGGCTGGCCATACTCTGAGGAAACCATCAAGTGACATCACACGACAGGCTATCGCTCGAATGGAACCCGGAAGGGAAGCGGCGAGTTGGTCGTCAGTGTGAGGGTGACTTGGAGGAGGTCATGTGAAGAGGAGATGAAAGTATGTTGGCAGACTTGGAGCGGGGTGAAATAGTTGGCAGAAAACAGAAGGCAATGGAGATGCGCAGCTGAAGCCCTATGTTCCTCTAGGAATTAAAGGAAATAATAATAATAACACAGAAATGGAAATCAAGGAAGCAAAAATTCGTTAATGCATGATGTTGAATATATAGTATGGAGCAGGTAGCCACATTTCGGGTGGTTTGAACTAATTCACTTAACTGAGAGTGTTCACACACTGAGTGACTCATTGACTGAACCCCTATGCTTAGAAATTAAACGCTCGCTTAGAATAGTCACTTACTCCAATTCAGTTCACGAGGATGGAGATAACAAAAAAAAAGAAATTCTAATGAATGCGAACAGAAGAAACGTGCAGAAGACAGAATAAAAATATGAGGAATATGACGATACAAAGGTTATCGGAGTTTCATAAAATTGATTAATTTCGTAAATTCCGATTAGGCAAGATGGAAAAAATTTGCAGTTAAAACAGACATCATCACCCTATTTCACAGGTTCTCATCGGTTGCGACAGACTACCTAAAATAACAATGGTCATAAATAACGGTAATCAAATACCACAGTGATCCGATCGATATTAGTCGTAGTAGTAGTAGTTGTTGTTGTTGTTGTAGAAGTAGAGAAAATGTTATACAAAGCATTAATGCTTCCAAAATATAAGCAGCATTACAATTCATTTTTAGCTTAAGTCACCATCAATTTATGTACTTACAAAATACAAAAGGAGAGAGGAGGGGACGAGAAGACAGAAAATAGAAAAAATGGTGTTAGCTGGTACGTCTACATAACACCTCAAGAAAGTCATAGTTCATCAAATTGAAAAATTGCTCAGTCACCCGAAATCACTAATATGCATGACTTATCAGTGTAATCAAAGTGATACGATTACCAAGGGAGTGAGAGATTGACTACACTCTCTTTTTCTGTATGCATAACTGTGGTCTGAAACCCTTCATTGCAATGCATTCAGAAAATCCTAGTAAGTTTATTGCCCTCTCAATATTTAATATTTTGAAGGATTTGGAAATCTCGACGAAATCGCCTGTATCCACAAGGTGTGTGTGGCAATAATTGTACTTTGTGCTGTTTTTTAGACATAAGTTTCTCGGCTTATGCTCTGAAAATCGTATAGAGGCCCTTTTTTCTGTTCTTCCATTGTACTTGCTACCGCAAATGCACGTAAATTTATAAACACGGTTGAAGGTAACGTCAGTAGGATAATTATCCAGTGTTGACTGGCTTATGGAGCATGTGGTGCTGTATAGTGTTACGAGTTCAGCGGTTGGGAAGCATCAATTCGTTGCTCCTTTCAGTCTCCTATCAATCCTTAGTAATACTGCTCTTTCTCTGAATGGGAGACAAATAAACACCTTTTGCTTTTCAACATTTGGGTGTTCCGTTTTCTCGTCGATTCATCAAAATAAAATCTTATCCATAATGGTGTTATACTCTACCACTGTGCCCAAGTTTTATATTTATTCTCGTCCTTTTCTTTGCTATACAATTTGATAAATCCCTTTGGATGCCGATTTTCCCAACAAAGCCTAGCTCGTCTTGCACCTTGTTGGGCGGATATAACTTCTTGGCTGTGTTATACAGTGTGTCCGCTAATCCATGCCCATAAGTTACAGGGCAGAAGCGGTTTCAGTGGAGTTGCTGTCCGGTTCAGGTTTCTTTTTTATAGATAGCTTTTTCGACGGTGCTATAGTTTCTTCTTCTTACATTAAGGTTGATGAAACTGAACTCATCGCTATGTTCATAGTTCATGGTGAATTCAATGTTGGCATGGATCTCATTATTTTTTTGTTAGTTCTCGTGGTTGAGTGGGGTACAAGCTTAAATCTATGAATAATACGATACACGATAAAATATTCGCACTCATAGTCCGAATATAAAATAGCAATAATAAGATGTCAGAAATTATTTACATCATCACACTAATCACTATTATTCTTAAGATCATCTGATTCGACTAATTGTAATTTGCAAGGTCCGGAGGCCTGTGTAAAACTTGAGCTACTAAAGGCCTCCATGGATATACTGCATAAAATTTCTCCTGCCCACTTTGTTTCTATGGATTAAAATATGACTTCTTGTGGCATTATTTACTCTCACAAGTATTTCAAATGCTTACAACCTCCTGATTTGCAAGTTCCTACACCATTTGAGAAGAAGCATAATCGCGGTGGTGGTGGCGTTCCTGAGTTATGTCCTTGGGCCTCAAAATGTACCCCTAAACTTTTAATGACTGACTTTCAACCAAGTGTCATGCATTCCTGGAAGGAGACTAAGAAGAAATATCACAATGGATTGGTTTACGCTCCAGACCAGATAGCACTCTGTCAGAAGATCTGCTGTCAGCTAATAGTCTGAAGACCCTGTACAGAGCAAAAATATCACTGAGTGAAGTCTGCTGAAAATTCTGTACGTTATATGAACAGTGTCCAGAATAAAGCCAATATTATCATTATTGTTGTTATTAATAGTCTGACAAAAAGCAATAAAGCAACCACTGACAATCGGAGAGGCAGAGAGAAAGAGAGCCCTGGACTGGTGTTTCATCATACTCTGAAACTCTTCGGTGGTAGACAGTAGATATAATTTTGTTTTATTAATGAGAACATCAAGCTGAAAATTCAAAAAGAGAAGAGAAGCCATCTGTGCTAGCCAAAAGAAGAAGAAACTTCGCGTGATATTTGAGTTCAAAGGAGACTTACTCAATGATATCCTTGTACGAAGAATTCTGGCTTCTTTAAGAAAAACACTCATTCACAGCAACTCAAAAACTAGTGTTCTTCTCCAGTCAATCATCCACTGGAGTGCAGAAACCCAAAGGACTAGACCTCATATCTTACCACTTCTATGTAAGTTCATTTCATGTGTTCATATGAAGTCATGCATATCTGTCTATTCCCTCGCATGGTTGCAGAAAGATAGCAGTGGTTCAGTAAAGCGTGGTGATTCTATCTCATCGAACTCCTCTTTCGAAGTGATCTACAAAGTGAAAAGCAACAACCTAACTGGAACGATACGCTACCGTCCCCTTTGAATTGATGGAGCTCTAGTCATCCAGATGAAGGAACCGGAGTTATACATACGAAGAAAAATCTCATATCCATTTCTCTTTACATGGTAAAAGGACCCTCTTATTGTTTTCAAAATAACTGTTTTGCTTATTTTATTTGCCTCATCCTTTCTGAGTCATCTATACATCCTAGCCCTTAAGTCACATAAAACTTTTCCTCTGGTTTTTATGTGAATCCTGATTCCATATCATCCATACTAGATGGTTTATCTTAGTGTGTAACTCCGACACCTTTCCTTGTGTGTGTGTGTGTGTGTTGATTGATAATATTATGAACTTTTTTATCATGATTCATCCCTTTCTTCCTATCCACTTTCTCAAGAAAACAAAGTTGTTCATAAATGCACTTGATTGTACAGTTAGAAATGAGAATGTAATAGCCGTGACTCTTCGCTTAACATTACTTGTCTTGTGTTTTTTAAAATTAAATAAGGTATTAAGAAGAAAAAAACCATTTGTATTTTGAACAGGTTAAATAGTCCATTGTATGGTAGACGAAGAGATCTGAAACTTATTGTTTTTTTATTTTCGATTACAGCTTGATTCCACACCGTATTTTTCGGTGCAGGTATGGAATTTTCAGCATGTGATATCGGTAGCCCAAATTTTGCAAGCCGAACATAGATATCAGGTGTGCGTTGGCAGAGGATCGAACCCGGACCATGTGCATGGTCGGCGAGAGTCCTAACCACTGTGCCACCGACGCACACATACACATACTTTTTTAATCCCCAGCCCTCCAATCTAATCCTTTATCAACTAGAATTGTCTGTCGAAGTAGACGATGGCTAATTATGCACCGTACGTGTCACGGTTGATGGTGCTGACGCACCACTGCTCAGTTCAGCTACAAACCAGAGAGTTACAGACATCTAATATAGTGTTTAGATCTCTTGGATGATCTGATTACCTGACACCAATACCTCATGTGCGGGACTAGGACCCAACTACTGTTGACATCACTGACTCAGTAGTTCACAGGATCATCCAGTTATTCTCTCTCAAAACCTAATCTCGACGTCAAAAAGTGAATGTTATTTACAACTAGATGTGAGTTTACTTCGTTTGTGCATAGTATTGATTGACCCTATAAGACAGAAAATTTGGATCAGAATGTATGAGTCATTCATTCACATTGTGATCGATTTCATTTTGTTCACGCTGTAGCGTGGCCACGTGACCGCTACAACCATTACGACTGACTAGACAAGGACAGGCATAATGTGAAGTTCACAATCCTATACTCCGGTTAAATTTTTTATTGATCGTATTTATTTATTCTCTATCTTAATCTACTGGACAGGATATGTGGAGGTAATTAACCTAGACATAAAAAGTGAGTGGGTGTATTAACGGTCAAGGTCACCAAATAATCCAAAATCTGTCCGCATCTCGGACCTACTTTTAATATTACTACTACCAAAGAACAGCAAAAAGCCGTGTCATCACGTGAACACATATGTAAACGGAGTGCTCTGATTGGTTATAATAAAATAGTCAGTTTCACTTTGCTAATACAATGATGTGAACGATGACCCCTCACTAGACTACTATTTTAAACAACGAATAAATGAATATATATATATTATATATATATATACTGTATTCGCTAGTTTTTTACATGACATTATATGTCTATCCACAATAGTGTTTACCAGTTGGTTTAACGATATCCCACTTGCCCTAGTAACAGCTTTTAGTGCCCTTTTCAGCGAAACAAAGTCTTTCTTAAGTAGTCCATGAAAGATTAATGGGGAGCTGTAAAGGGGATGGGTAGAATACAAGAATTGAGAAATTGAGAAAGCAAAGACAGCTTTATGCCAGACTGCCTAAATTTCCTAACGTAGAACGTTAAGCGAGACATCTTTCTAGTAACTAGCAAGATGTGGAAGGACCAGGAAAGAAGGGTGGAAAAACTCAACCCAAGGTACTTGACATTAGATGTATTTTCAACCTCTATGCCGTCAATGATAGTGGGGTCATGTGAGCTAACTAGTTGCTGTAGTCATGCATATTAGTGATTTCGGGTGACTGAGCAATTTTTCAATTTGATGAACTATGACTTTCTTGAGATGTTATGTAGACGTACCAGCTAACACCATTTTTTCTATTTTCTGTCTTCTCGTCCCCTCCTCTCTCCTTTTGTATTTTGTAAGTACATAAATTGATGGTGACTTAAGCTAAAAATGAATTGTAATGCTGCTTATATTTTGGAAGCATTAATGCTTTGTATAACATTTTCTCTACTTCTACAACAACAACAACAACTACTACTACTACGACTAATATCGATCGGATCACTGTGGTATTTGATTACCGTTATTTATGACCATTGTTATTTCAGGTAGTCTGTCGCAACCGATGAGAACCTGTGAAATAGGGTGATGATATCATTTTACACTGCGGATCTGGTCTTTTTTACTCGATTGAAATATATATTTTTTTATTTTGTTTAAATAGTAATGTGATTATTCTCCTTAACATGTATATACTTTGCAACGAAATTTCAGTTTGGTTCAATTCCTTCCTTTTACAGAATTTGCAGTCATCTACTATCTGTTGTTATGATCTCTTTGGGTTGCAAGAGCGAAGTAAATCTCCAGTAACTGATCCCCAAATTGTAACTCTAATCTTCACTGGTCTTCAGCTGTTTTCAGGAATACCCATTGAATTTCATTTCCTCCAACTGACGGAATCTCCTCCATATCCTTTTTAGATGAATGGCCAGCTCATCGTTTCGCAATCAGGATTTCACTTACTCGATGATCTGGTGGTCTCCTCAGTGTGTATCCGATTCATTCCTATATTATTTGGAATGTTTGGTGAGCAACAGATTTTTTGTCACTTTATTGTCAGAGTTCCTTGTCGCTAATCCTTTCTAGTTAACCGTCTGATCTTCAGTATGGAGTCATTGAAGGCATTTGTTGATGATAGTCTGCAGCAGTCTTTTTATTTATTTAAACGCATGAAAACTTGGTACAATATGGCACCAAGAAGGATGCGCCACACAATAATAAAACAACATAGATCAAGAGAAAAAATATATAAGTAGAGAACGGATAAAGAATTTCATCTGGAAGGAAAACAGTCATGCTTAACAAGTTCAAACAGTATTTGTTAACTGTCATCGGGAAGGGAAGAAAGAAGGAAATTGCAACACGTTCGCCACTGATTACGATTCTTGGCCATATCCGATAACATTTCGAGCCATCGATTTGAGCTGTTGCTTCATTTGATTCATTGCGTCAGGGCTGAGATACTGCCCGGGCGCCCAGACCGAAGCAGGTGGTTTTATTGAGGGACGCCCCCCGAGCCTTTGACTTGGAGTCTAATCCGCAAAGCCGCGGATCAGCGTCAGGAGCTGCATTCTCATGGTTTCCGGTGACCAATATGGGTTCATACGCCATTTGATTCCATTGGATTCTGGAGCCTATGTACCCCATGGTAACTGCTTTTAGTTTGACCGCTATCCAGACAACCTTCCTGACATGGTAGGACCTGCAGGAACATTAGTCCCAGTCAGTTTAGTTTGTTGGGTCACTGCAGTATTCAAGCCAGACCACCACTGTAAGGTAGCAGTTATCGACCGAGTGCAGCAGTCTACTGAATATGTTTTTATAACGCCAACGTTTCTGACCTATATATAGGAACTGAATGAGTCAAAAATGTTGTTGAAAATTCGAATTTCGATCTTCATACTGAGCGCTGAAGAGTTTTGCCCTAATTTCAGAGTAATAAAGGTCTATCTTTCCTTACCGATCCTGATTTCGATGGCTTATCTGAAAACATGCTTTAACTCTGCGCTCCACGTATATGCACCTTCAAAGCACAGGTCAAACTGTATGTTGAAAGTCAATTAAGAATTTCAGATGAGTACAGACTGTTGAGTTGAGACGAAGTATAATTGTGAGTAAGCTTGACGCACTGTTGTGGGAAATCAGAGTAGCCTAATCGTTTAGGTGGCAGAACGCCGTTATCAATCAGTAATCATTTTGAGAATGATGTTCTCTACCAATATATTTCAAAGTAGTGTAAAACCTTACATGAAACATTGACAATTATTATAGTGAAACACTGTCAAGTTTGATCACCAACTGTAATTGCCACATCACTTTAAGACTCCTTCGTCATAGTCAGTGGGCTTACTTTGCAACCTGAAAGTCCTGGAATCTAACCCTCTTGGAGTCATAGGCTCCTACTGATGAAGAGTCTCAAACTAAGACGAAACAACTGTCCATTACTCCCTGTGGCTTTTAATGGCTTTCTAAATAATGTGAGTTTTGGTGAAATAACTTTAAACATTAATCGAATCCCTGGAATCTTATACTTGACATATGATCCCACATACTACTGATTGATTGATGTGAATAGGTAACTAGGTCGAGGTGATTGGTATGATTATTAACAATAATAAATTGTGTTCGAAACTGTGGCATCCAGTAAATAATACTGTTTCACTGTGTGGTATACCTAATAAACAAACTAATATAGAATTACTTAATACCGCAGTGCCCAAGTTTTGCACATATAATAATAGGTCGAGGTGATTTAAAGACCACTGAACAACTCGTTTGCAGCCGAGCTCATTAAGCTGCTGTTTACCAGGTAAGCCTTCACTCAGAGAGCTGAATCAATTCATGCCGTAGGAATTATTTCCGGCTAGCTATTGGGGAGAATTGGGGATATCTTGAACCCAATTCTTCATTTGCAATTTACAAAGTTCCAGGAGGAGGGAAAATTTCCTCACATTTCTTTCGTTGGAAACCATAATTATTCAGATCATACGCCTGATTGGTAATATAAATAGAAATCAAGAAAGTAAATGCAATCATATGAAACTGTAGTGAAGCTTCACCTTGATTTGATTTGACAGTTGAAACATTTCATTCAGTTTTCATCAGAGTGGATTGGGATTTTTAAAGCTCGGCGATGGATTTATTGTCCTTTCCACTGAGTTTAATGTATAGTGACCGAAAAGAACAAATGACTCAATAACCATTTAGGCTCTTAGTTAGGTGTTTGGGTTATGAGTGAAGTATCTGTAACGAAGATTTCGATTATTTTATTGTTAATTGCGCGAATGCCTCTCAGGACTTATGCAGTAGTAGTTTCTATCTGAAAAAAGTGCTTAAAACTGAATTCTAAACTCGAATCTTATCTTTTAATCTTAACCTTTGAGCCTAAACGAGGGATATTGGGAAATATTCTTGACACTTCTTTTTACAGTTATTCCTGTGACAGTTTAAAAATATGAACTTCTTTATTTTCAAGAGTTAGTTTGTAGGTATTTGTTTTATTTCAAGTTCGACCAAGGATTGATATCACTTAGAGAATCGTTGAAAAAAAGCAGGGAGTACTAGACAGCTTTTTCGTTAGCTTAGTTTGAGACTCATCGCCAGTACACATCCACCACCTGGGTTCAAACCCATAACCTCCCAGTTACAAGGAAAGCCTGTAAACAATTCAGTTACTGGGACCCGATCCAATGGGCAGCCCATGAATTCTAACTTCTATCAACTCGTGGTTTTAGCACTACCATCGGCTAGTGTCATCGGTGGCGAGCATTTTTCCTGATTCCCGACCAGATGAACCCCACCTTCACCAGAGTGGTCACTGCCGGTGAGTCCTAAGTTGAGGGGAAACAGCTGTTCAGTACTCTTGGGTTTCATAAAGAGCACCTCAAACAAACTAGAGACCTTCATCAACAGCTGTCTTCGCTCAATACTACTCAATATCAGATGGCCGGCCAGAAGATATCAGCAATAGGGATCTCTGGAAATGAGCGAACCAAATAAGCAGGAAGAAATGGAGGTGGATTGGCTGGCCATACTCTGAGGAAACCATCAAGTGACATCACACGACAGGCTATCGCTCGAATGGAACCCGGAAGGGAAGCGGCGAGTTGGTCGTCAGTGTGAGGGTGACTTGGAGGAGGTCATGTGAAGAGGAGATGAAAGTATGTTGGCAGACTTGGAGCGGGGTGAAATAGTTGGCAGAAAACAGAAGGCAATGGAGATGCGCAGCTGAAGCCCTATGTTCCTCTAGGAATTAAAGGAAATAATAATAATAACACAGAAATGGAAATCAAGGAAGCAAAAATTCGTTAATGCATGATGTTGAATATATAGTATGGAGCAGGTAGCCACATTTCGGGTGGTTTGAACTAATTCACTTAACTGAGAGTGTTCACACACTGAGTGACTCATTGACTGAACCCCTATGCTTAGAAATTAAACGCTCGCTTAGAATAGTCACTTACTCCAATTCAGTTCACGAGGATGGAGATAACAAAAAAAAAGAAATTCTAATGAATGCGAACAGAAGAAACGTGCAGAAGACAGAATAAAAATATGAGGAATATGACGATACAAAGGTTATCGGAGTTTCATAAAATTGATTAATTTCGTAAATTCCGATTAGGCAAGATGGAAAAAATTTGCAGTTAAAACAGACATCATCACCCTATTTCACAGGTTCTCATCGGTTGCGACAGACTACCTAAAATAACAATGGTCATAAATAACGGTAATCAAATACCACAGTGATCCGATCGATATTAGTCGTAGTAGTAGTAGTTGTTGTTGTTGTTGTAGAAGTAGAGAAAATGTTATACAAAGCATTAATGCTTCCAAAATATAAGCAGCATTACAATTCATTTTTAGCTTAAGTCACCATCAATTTATGTACTTACAAAATACAAAAGGAGAGAGGAGGGGACGAGAAGACAGAAAATAGAAAAAATGGTGTTAGCTGGTACGTCTACATAACACCTCAAGAAAGTCATAGTTCATCAAATTGAAAAATTGCTCAGTCACCCGAAATCACTAATATGCATGACTTATCAGTGTAATCAAAGTGATACGATTACCAAGGGAGTGAGAGATTGACTACACTCTCTTTTTCTGTATGCATAACTGTGGTCTGAAACCCTTCATTGCAATGCATTCAGAAAATCCTAGTAAGTTTATTGCCCTCTCAATATTTAATATTTTGAAGGATTTGGAAATCTCGACGAAATCGCCTGTATCCACAAGGTGTGTGTGGCAATAATTGTACTTTGTGCTGTTTTTTAGACATAAGTTTCTCGGCTTATGCTCTGAAAATCGTATAGAGGCCCTTTTTTCTGTTCTTCCATTGTACTTGCTACCGCAAATGCACGTAAATTTATAAACACGGTTGAAGGTAACGTCAGTAGGATAATTATCCAGTGTTGACTGGCTTATGGAGCATGTGGTGCTGTATAGTGTTACGAGTTCAGCGGTTGGGAAGCATCAATTCGTTGCTCCTTTCAGTCTCCTATCAATCCTTAGTAATACTGCTCTTTCTCTGAATGGGAGACAAATAAACACCTTTTGCTTTTCAACATTTGGGTGTTCCGTTTTCTCGTCGATTCATCAAAATAAAATCTTATCCATAATGGTGTTATACTCTACCACTGTGCCCAAGTTTTATATTTATTCTCGTCCTTTTCTTTGCTATACAATTTGATAAATCCCTTTGGATGCCGATTTTCCCAACAAAGCCTAGCTCGTCTTGCACCTTGTTGGGCGGATATAACTTCTTGGCTGTGTTATACAGTGTGTCCGCTAATCCATGCCCATAAGTTACAGGGCAGAAGCGGTTTCAGTGGAGTTGCTGTCCGGTTCAGGTTTCTTTTTTATAGATAGCTTTTTCGACGGTGCTATAGTTTCTTCTTCTTACATTAAGGTTGATGAAACTGAACTCATCGCTATGTTCATAGTTCATGGTGAATTCAATGTTGGCATGGATCTCATTATTTTTTTGTTAGTTCTCGTGGTTGAGTGGGGTACAAGCTTAAATCTATGAATAATACGATACACGATAAAATATTCGCACTCATAGTCCGAATATAAAATAGCAATAATAAGATGTCAGAAATTATTTACATCATCACACTAATCACTATTATTCTTAAGATCATCTGATTCGACTAATTGTAATTTGCAAGGTCCGGAGGCCTGTGTAAAACTTGAGCTACTAAAGGCCTCCATGGATATACTGCATAAAATTTCTCCTGCCCACTTTGTTTCTATGGATTAAAATATGACTTCTTGTGGCATTATTTACTCTCACAAGTATTTCAAATGCTTACAACCTCCTGATTTGCAAGTTCCTACACCATTTGAGAAGAAGCATAATCGCGGTGGTGGTGGCGTTCCTGAGTTATGTCCTTGGGCCTCAAAATGTACCCCTAAACTTTTAATGACTGACTTTCAACCAAGTGTCATGCATTCCTGGAAGGAGACTAAGAAGAAATATCACAATGGATTGGTTTACGCTCCAGACCAGATAGCACTCTGTCAGAAGATCTGCTGTCAGCTAATAGTCTGAAGACCCTGTACAGAGCAAAAATATCACTGAGTGAAGTCTGCTGAAAATTCTGTACGTTATATGAACAGTGTCCAGAATAAAGCCAATATTATCATTATTGTTGTTATTAATAGTCTGACAAAAAGCAATAAAGCAACCACTGACAATCGGAGAGGCAGAGAGAAAGAGAGCCCTGGACTGGTGTTTCATCATACTCTGAAACTCTTCGGTGGTAGACAGTAGATATAATTTTGTTTTATTAATGAGAACATCAAGCTGAAAATTCAAAAAGAGAAGAGAAGCCATCTGTGCTAGCCAAAAGAAGAAGAAACTTCGCGTGATATTTGAGTTCAAAGGAGACTTACTCAATGATATCCTTGTACGAAGAATTCTGGCTTCTTTAAGAAAAACACTCATTCACAGCAACTCAAAAACTAGTGTTCTTCTCCAGTCAATCATCCACTGGAGTGCAGAAACCCAAAGGACTAGACCTCATATCTTACCACTTCTATGTAAGTTCATTTCATGTGTTCATATGAAGTCATGCATATCTGTCTATTCCCTCGCATGGTTGCAGAAAGATAGCAGTGGTTCAGTAAAGCGTGGTGATTCTATCTCATCGAACTCCTCTTTCGAAGTGATCTACAAAGTGAAAAGCAACAACCTAACTGGAACGATACGCTACCGTCCCCTTTGAATTGATGGAGCTCTAGTCATCCAGATGAAGGAACCGGAGTTATACATACGAAGAAAAATCTCATATCCATTTCTCTTTACATGGTAAAAGGACCCTCTTATTGTTTTCAAAATAACTGTTTTGCTTATTTTATTTGCCTCATCCTTTCTGAGTCATCTATACATCCTAGCCCTTAAGTCACATAAAACTTTTCCTCTGGTTTTTATGTGAATCCTGATTCCATATCATCCATACTAGATGGTTTATCTTAGTGTGTAACTCCGACACCTTTCCTTGTGTGTGTGTGTGTGTGTGTTGATTGATAATATTATGAACTTTTTTATCATGATTCATCCCTTTCTTCCTATCCACTTTCTCAAGAAAACAAAGTTGTTCATAAATGCACTTGATTGTACAGTTAGAAATGAGAATGTAATAGCCGTGACTCTTCGCTTAACATTACTTGTCTTGTGTTTTTTAAAATTAAATAAGGTATTAAGAAGAAAAAAACCATTTGTATTTTGAACAGGTTAAATAGTCCATTGTATGGTAGACGAAGAGATCTGAAACTTATTGTTTTTTTATTTTCGATTACAGCTTGATTCCACACCGTATTTTTCGGTGCAGGTATGGAATTTTCAGCATGTGATATCGGTAGCCCAAATTTTGCAAGCCGAACATAGATATCAGGTGTGCGTTGGCAGAGGATCGAACCCGGACCATGTGCATGGTCGGCGAGAGTCCTAACCACTGTGCCACCGACGCACACATACACATACTTTTTTAATCCCCAGCCCTCCAATCTAATCCTTTATCAACTAGAATTGTCTGTCGAAGTAGACGATGGCTAATTATGCACCGTACGTGTCACGGTTGATGGTGCTGACGCACCACTGCTCAGTTCAGCTACAAACCAGAGAGTTACAGACATCTAATATAGTGTTTAGATCTCTTGGATGATCTGATTACCTGACACCAATACCTCATGTGCGGGACTAGGACCCAACTACTGTTGACATCACTGACTCAGTAGTTCACAGGATCATCCAGTTATTCTCTCTCAAAACCTAATCTCGACGTCAAAAAGTGAATGTTATTTACAACTAGATGTGAGTTTACTTCGTTTGTGCATAGTATTGATTGACCCTATAAGACAGAAAATTTGGATCAGAATGTATGAGTCATTCATTCACATTGTGATCGATTTCATTTTGTTCACGCTGTAGCGTGGCCACGTGACCGCTACAACCATTACGACTGACTAGACAAGGACAGGCATAATGTGAAGTTCACAATCCTATACTCCGGTTAAATTTTTTATTGATCGTATTTATTTATTCTCTATCTTAATCTACTGGACAGGATATGTGGAGGTAATTAACCTAGACATAAAAAGTGAGTGGGTGTATTAACGGTCAAGGTCACCAAATAATCCAAAATCTGTCCGCATCTCGGACCTACTTTTAATATTACTACTACCAAAGAACAGCAAAAAGCCGTGTCATCACGTGAACACATATGTAAACGGAGTGCTCTGATTGGTTATAATAAAATAGTCAGTTTCACTTTGCTAATACAATGATGTGAACGATGACCCCTCACTAGACTACTATTTTAAACAACGAATAAATGAATATATATATATTATATATATATATACTGTATTCGCTAGTTTTTTACATGACATTATATGTCTATCCACAATAGTGTTTACCAGTTGGTTTAACGATATCCACTTGCCCTAGTAACAGCTTTTAGTGCCCTTTTCAGCGAAACAAAGTCTTTCTTAAGTAGTCCATGAAAGATTAATGGGGAGCTGTAAAGGGGATGGGTAGAATACAAGAATTGAGAAATTGAGAAAGCAAAGACAGCTTTATGCCAGACTGCCTAAATTTCCTAACGTAGAACGTTAAGCGAGACATCTTTCTAGTAACTAGCAAGATGTGGAAGGACCAGGAAAGAAGGGTGGAAAAACTCAACCCAAGGTACTTGACATTAGATGTATTTTCAACCTCTATGCCGTCAATGATAGTGGGGTCATGTGAGCTAACTAGTTGCTGTAGTCATGCATATTAGTGATTTCGGGTGACTGAGCAATTTTTCAATTTGATGAACTATGACTTTCTTGAGATGTTATGTAGACGTACCAGCTAACACCATTTTTTCTATTTTCTGTCTTCTCGTCCCCTCCTCTCTCCTTTTGTATTTTGTAAGTACATAAATTGATGGTGACTTAAGCTAAAAATGAATTGTAATGCTGCTTATATTTTGGAAGCATTAATGCTTTGTATAACATTTTCTCTACTTCTACAACAACAACAACAACTACTACTACTACGACTAATATCGATCGGATCACTGTGGTATTTGATTACCGTTATTTATGACCATTGTTATTTCAGGTAGTCTGTCGCAACCGATGAGAACCTGTGAAATAGGGTGATGATATCATTTTACACTGCGGATCTGGTCTTTTTTACTCGATTGAAATATATATTTTTTTATTTTGTTTAAATAGTAATGTGATTATTCTCCTTAACATGTATATACTTTGCAACGAAATTTCAGTTTGGTTCAATTCCTTCCTTTTACAGAATTTGCAGTCATCTACTATCTGTTGTTATGATCTCTTTGGGTTGCAAGAGCGAAGTAAATCTCCAGTAACTGATCCCCAAATTGTAACTCTAATCTTCACTGGTCTTCAGCTGTTTTCAGGAATACCCATTGAATTTCATTTCCTCCAACTGACGGAATCTCCTCCATATCCTTTTTAGATGAATGGCCAGCTCATCGTTTCGCAATCAGGATTTCACTTACTCGATGATCTGGTGGTCTCCTCAGTGTGTATCCGATTCATTCCTATATTATTTGGAATGTTTGGTGAGCAACAGATTTTTTGTCACTTTATTGTCAGAGTTCCTTGTCGCTAATCCTTTCTAGTTAACCGTCTGATCTTCAGTATGGAGTCATTGAAGGCATTTGTTGATGATAGTCTGCAGCAGTCTTTTTATTTATTTAAACGCATGAAAACTTGGTACAATATGGCACCAAGAAGGATGCGCCACACAATAATAAAACAACATAGATCAAGAGAAAAAATATATAAGTAGAGAACGGATAAAGAATTTCATCTGGAAGGAAAACAGTCATGCTTAACAAGTTCAAACAGTATTTGTTAACTGTCATCGGGAAGGGAAGAAAGAAGGAAATTGCAACACGTTCGCCACTGATTACGATTCTTGGCCATATCCGATAACATTTCGAGCCATCGATTTGAGCTGTTGCTTCATTTGATTCATTGCGTCAGGGCTGAGATACTGCCCGGGCGCCCAGACCGAAGCAGGTGGTTTTATTGAGGGACGCCCCCCGAGCCTTTGACTTGGAGTCTAATCCGCAAAGCCGCGGATCAGCGTCAGGAGCTGCATTCTCATGGTTTCCGGTGACCAATATGGGTTCATACGCCATTTGATTCCATTGGATTCTGGAGCCTATGTACCCCATGGTAACTGCTTTTAGTTTGACCGCTATCCAGACAACCTTCCTGACATGGTAGGACCTGCAGGAACATTAGTCCCAGTCAGTTTAGTTTGTTGGGTCACTGCAGTATTCAAGCCAGACCACCACTGTAAGGTAGCAGTTATCGACCGAGTGCAGCAGTCTACTGAATATGTTTTTATAACGCCAACGTTTCTGACCTATATATAGGAACTGAATGAGTCAAAAATGTTGTTGAAAATTCGAATTTCGATCTTCATACTGAGCGCTGAAGAGTTTTGCCCTAATTTCAGAGTAATAAAGGTCTATCTTTCCTTACCGATCCTGATTTCGATGGCTTATCTGAAAACATGCTTTAACTCTGCGCTCCACGTATATGCACCTTCAAAGCACAGGTCAAACTGTATGTTGAAAGTCAATTAAGAATTTCAGATGAGTACAGACTGTTGAGTTGAGACGAAGTATAATTGTGAGTAAGCTTGACGCACTGTTGTGGGAAATCAGAGTAGCCTAATCGTTTAGGTGGCAGAACGCCGTTATCAATCAGTAATCATTTTGAGAATGATGTTCTCTACCAATATATTTCAAAGTAGTGTAAAACCTTACATGAAACATTGACAATTATTATAGTGAAACACTGTCAAGTTTGATCACCAACTGTAATTGCCACATCACTTTAAGACTCCTTCGTCATAGTCAGTGGGCTTACTTTGCAACCTGAAAGTCCTGGAATCTAACCCTCTTGGAGTCATAGGCTCCTACTGATGAAGAGTCTCAAACTAAGACGAAACAACTGTCCATTACTCCCTGTGGCTTTTAATGGCTTTCTAAATAATGTGAGTTTTGGTGAAATAACTTTAAACATTAATCGAATCCCTGGAATCTTATACTTGACATATGATCCCACATACTACTGATTGATTGATGTGAATAGGTAACTAGGTCGAGGTGATTGGTATGATTATTAACAATAATAAATTGTGTTCGAAACTGTGGCATCCAGTAAATAATACTGTTTCACTGTGTGGTATACCTAATAAACAAACTAATATAGAATTACTTAATACCGCAGTGCCCAAGTTTTGCACATATAATAATAGGTCGAGGTGATTTAAAGACCACTGAACAACTCGTTTGCAGCCGAGCTCATTAAGCTGCTGTTTACCAGGTAAGCCTTCACTCAGAGAGCTGAATCAATTCATGCCGTAGGAATTATTTCCGGCTAGCTATTGGGGAGAATTGGGGATATCTTGAACCCAATTCTTCATTTGCAATTTACAAAGTTCCAGGAGGAGGGAAAATTTCCTCACATTTCTTTCGTTGGAAACCATAATTATTCAGATCATACGCCTGATTGGTAATATAAATAGAAATCAAGAAAGTAAATGCAATCATATGAAACTGTAGTGAAGCTTCACCTTGATTTGATTTGACAGTTGAAACATTTCATTCAGTTTTCATCAGAGTGGATTGGGATTTTTAAAGCTCGGCGATGGATTTATTGTCCTTTCCACTGAGTTTAATGTATAGTGACCGAAAAGAACAAATGACTCAATAACCATTTAGGCTCTTAGTTAGGTGTTTGGGTTATGAGTGAAGTATCTGTAACGAAGATTTCGATTATTTTATTGTTAATTGCGCGAATGCCTCTCAGGACTTATGCAGTAGTAGTTTCTATCTGAAAAAAGTGCTTAAAACTGAATTCTAAACTCGAATCTTATCTTTTAATCTTAACCTTTGAGCCTAAACGAGGGATATTGGGAAATATTCTTGACACTTCTTTTTACAGTTATTCCTGTGACAGTTTAAAAATATGAACTTCTTTATTTTCAAGAGTTAGTTTGTAGGTATTTGTTTTATTTCAAGTTCGACCAAGGATTGATATCACTTAGAGAATCGTTGAAAAAAAGCAGGGAGTACTAGACAGCTTTTTCGTTAGCTTAGTTTGAGACTCATCGCCAGTACACATCCACCACCTGGGTTCAAACCCATAACCTCCCAGTTACAAGGAAAGCCTGTAAACAATTCAGTTACTGGGACCCGATCCAATGGGCAGCCCATGAATTCTAACTTCTATCAACTCGTGGTTTTAGCACTACCATCGGCTAGTGTCATCGGTGGCGAGCATTTTTCCTGATTCCCGACCAGATGAACCCCACCTTCACCAGAGTGGTCACTGCCGGTGAGTCCTAAGTTGAGGGGAAACAGCTGTTCAGTACTCTTGGGTTTTCAGTGGTTCTGTAACTAGTATCAGTTTGTGGTCAAACCTGAAACTTCTTTATTCTTGGCTTCGAGAGCTGATTCTGTCTAATTTGATCTGAAAGACCTGTATCCTGTGGTCTTATGAACGATTTAGAACCGGTCGTTTATGTTAAACAGATAACGGAGTTATTGTAACTGCTGATTGACTGTCTCAAGTTGAAACCCTAAGTTCCACCGAAAACCAAAGGAATCATAATGATAATAATAACAGTAATAGTCTGAGCGCAAACTTAGTTTGTTCACTTAAACAGGAGTCATTTTAATGAATACCAACATCCATCCATTCTCAAAATTCTTTTGGATATTTTGGTCAGATATTATTATTACTGTCGTCCCCTTGGGTCCCGAGTGGAACATAGGGCTTACTGGCTTTCAAGCCACAAACTCACCGTTATTGGCTAAATTTTCTCTGCATAAAGCTATACAAGCTAGAGTAAAGCTTGAAGATCTAAGTAAAAGCTGAATTTTAAAGGGAACCATATATATGAAATTCATTTATTTGTTATGTCTAAAATAGTAGCCTAGTGAGGGGTCATCGTTCACTTCAATGTACTAGCAAAGTAATACTGGTCATATTGTAGACAACCTGAAGTCGTTTAAAATAATCAACAAGCAAAAGAAACCTAGCTTGCTACGCTTTGCTGAAGCAATTGCCATCAAACGACTAAACCAAATCTATGTACGCAGAAAGAGACAGTGGTGAATCTTGCACTGCCCTGATGATAACAAAAATTATACAACCTTCATGAGTCACCTTTTTCATGTTTAGAAAACTCTATTCTCTCTCATCTAAACATGACTCACCCTACCTTGTTTCTTTTCTTTCCTTTTTTCAATTGGCTATTAGATAAGATGGTTTCTTTAGTTACGTAATCTGCTTTTTTGTAATACTCTTTCTAGCTAAACCTTGTTTCTACACACACACATATATATACAACCCTATTTTTTGTTTGCAAGCCTAATTGTCTAATTATTCCATAAACAGTCAGTGTTTGTAACTCTTAATCAGTTAAATCATTCCGGACTAATGTTACTTTTAATTCCTACCAATTACTTCTTATGATCATGGAAAAGTATGTTCATATCTTTAATGTAATTCTTATTTTTTTAAAGTTCAGGTTGTAACTAGTTGAGAAGAATCCTCGAAATAATAAAAGATGAGCTCGTATTATCATGGTACAATTGTTGTTTTTGCTTTGTTAAAGTAATATTGACTATTCTATTACAACCAATCAGAGCACTGTGTTTACATACGTGTTCACGTGATGACACGGCTTGTTGTTTTTAGTGGTAGTAGTAATATTAGTAGTGGGTCATAAATGTTAAAATATTTATCACAATACAGGTGTAATAACGCTTCAAGAAACTTGACTCCACGATTCCTATGATGATAATATAATCTGTCAAAATGGTTTCACTATGTACTGACAAGAGCGAAGCAGTTCAAGGAAGAAGCGAGGTAGTTGTGTTGCTACTTTTATCAGTTCCCAGTGGTGTGTTGCCAACAACGTCTGCTTTAAATTCTCAAATGACAATATTGGTTCTTTAACCATTAAATGTCGACCTAAACACCTGTCGAATTATAACTTCATTTTTATCATTAACATTTATGTCACACCTTGTTGTAGTACTTCAGAAGTATTCATGTTTGCTAATGAATTCACTATTTTCGCTACCGTCTCTTTTGCTTATTCACTGTCCAAAGTGACAGGCGATTTTAATTAATTAATGCGTCGGTGGTACAGTGGTTGGGACTCTCGCCGACCATGCAAATGGTCCAAGGTTCGAGCCCACGCCGACGCACACTTGATATCTGTGGCCGGCCTGCGAATTTCGGGCTACCGATATCCACGCTGAAAATTCCACACTTGTAACAAAAATACAGTGTGTGGAATCAAGCTGTAATCAAAAATAAAACAAAATTTAAAAAATAATTTGACTGCAACCATCTTACAGTGCTAGGTCATACCAATAACCTCTATAGCACTCGTTCAGCCTAGACCAAAGTCAAAGCAAAACACCAGAATTGACAGTCCAAATTACGAGTTATATTTTGGGACCAAATCGGAGTGCGAGATGATTGCTTAACTAGCTAGGGATCGTGCACGAACGAATGAACATGACACTACGGAGTACCAGATGGCGTGGATGCTTAACCGGAAGCCTTCAGCTAAACAAGTTGACTTAAGCAGTGAGGTTCAGCATCCAATGTTCAGTGATGAATGCTGTGGTCAATAATTCTGGAGAATTACCTGCCGCTACAGCTCACTCTCCCCCTAGTGGGGTTGTGAAGACCCTAAGACAAAACCAGCTGGAAGTAGAAAAACCCAATGGTTTTCCCATCGGTAAAAAACTCTTCCGATCGGCTTGATGTAATGCCTACTGGTCGTCTACCTATGCTAATAGGGTGTCTGTACATCGTTTCGTTTATGCTTGTCCGTTGCATCTCGTGCTTCGTTTGCTTCTTGTCCAGTCCCCGTCGCACCTGGAAAAGAAAACAAGAATTCTGAGAACCTTGTTGAGGAAGATGTACCAAAAATAACGTTTGAAAAATGATGTGCATCTACCATATTGTGAGATAATGCAAAATTTAGAACGTCGAAAAAAGTACACATCCAATTTTTTAGTGCATGTGACATTTACGGTTATAGAAAATATTTTTTTACTTGTGTTTAGGGATGCTGAAAAAAAATAATTAATTCCACAAACGAATAAGAAATGGGTGAATCGCATCACTTAGTTATGTGATATAAGTGTGAGGATTTTCTGGGAATCTCACCTTTTGTCCAAAACGCGTTTTCTTTGAGGGCTCGACAGAAGGTCCGGTGTCTTTCACTGTGCTAGTGAATTCTTCGAGGACTAAAGGATATTCGGTTACTTGTGTATTATTGGGAATGCTCAGCTCTAGGCTAATAGGATTACCTTCTAAGTAGGCCGGTTTTAGACGGTCGATGCTAACGGTGTGTTCGCGGCCCTTTTTGTCTAAGACAAAGAATTTATCCATACGTTTATTGACTTTATATGGTACGTCGTATTGGGGTTCCAGAGGTCGACGCACAGAGTCACGACGAACAAATACGTGTGTAGAAGTTTTCAAACACGAGTGAACAAAGGTGTCTATGGACTGTGGTCGAAGCGGAGCAGGCTTAACTGAACACATTGAGTTTCTGAGCCTGCTGACGTATGGGGCGTGATCTTTCGCTGGTGGGGAGATCGAGGGAGAAACAAATTCGCCAGGGTAGTCATAATGTCGTGCCATATATTAGCTTGGTGGTAGTACAACCAGCATCGGTTTTCAAGGCGTTTCGTATACCTAGGAGAACTAACGGAAGTGATTCAGTCCAATGTGCACCGGTTGCAGCTGATAACCCAGCCTTCAACTGTCTGTGTAGACGTTCTACCATACCATTAGCTTGGGGATGGTAGGTTTTTGTTCTAAAACGCATACAACCTATGATCTTAGTCAGGGCGAAGAATAAGCCGCTTTTGAATTGCCACCCGCGATCAGTTGTTATGGAGGATGGGCATCCAAAGTTTTCGATCCATCTTTCGACAAAGACAAGTGCGACTGTTTCAGTAGATACATCCTTGAGGGGTACTGCTTCAGGCCATCGTGTGAAACGGTCGATCTAGGTTAAGATATAGGTATATCCATGGGATTCCGGAAGAGGTCCAACCAAATCTATATGAACGTGTTCAAAACGAGCGTCAGGGAGAAGAAAGGTACCAAGTGGGCTTTTGGTGTATCTTATTACCTTACACTTTTGATAAAATAAGCACGTGCGTGCCCATTCCCTTACTTCTTTGTTAACACCAGGCCAACAAAAACGACTAGTTACGAGCTTGACAGTAGTTCGAATACCTGGGTGGGATAAGCCATGCAACGTATTGGAGACGTTATGGTGATAACTTTTAGGCACAATGGGGCGAGGAGTACTCGTGGAAACGTCCCATAGAATAGTATCTTCTCCCATACTTAAGGGTTTCTCGGCTAATTGAAGAGTTGTTTTCGACAACTCATGTTGAAGTTCGATATCTTCTCTTTGAAGACGAGCCAGTTTTACAAGGTCTGTGCTGTATATTTAGGTGAGGGAACAAACGCGCGACAATGCATCTGCCACTCCGGATACATGGCGAATATCCGATGTAAACTGTGAAACGTAGTCCAGTCGTCGTGATTCCCTAGATGAATACTTATCTGAAGTTGAGTTCAGAGAGTATGTCAGAGTTTTGTGGTCAGTGAAAATTGTGAATTCACGACCCTCCACTGAATGTCGAAAATGGCGTATATCACATTACATAGCCAGAAGTTCTCTGCCGAATGTGCTGAACCTCCGTTTCTGCTAATTGAAGGCGCCTCGAGAAAAAGGCGAGGGGTTACCACTCTCTGTTGACTAGTTGTTGCAGAACTGCGCCAATTGCAGTGTCTGATGCATCAACCGAGATAATTGACGGTGCCGTCAGATCCTGATATATAAGAAGTGTGGCATCCACGATAGTTTTTTTAACCTGAGTAAAAGCATTTCGAGCAGACGCGTCAAGTTCGATGCACTTGTTATTCCCTCGAAGAAGGTCTGTCAATGGATGAATCAGAGAAACACAGTTGGGAATAAACCGTCGGTAATAAATTACCAAGCCGTTAAAAGTGCGAAGACTTTCCACTGTCTGTGGCTCTGGAAAGTTCAATATCGCCTCAACTTTACTAGCCAGCGGGCGGATACCCTTGCAGTCAGTGGTGTGACCCAGAATGTCGAGTGAGTCAACGCCTGTCTGACGCTTTTGAATAATAATGGTAACACCATGTAGGCATAACCTTTCGAATGCCAAGTCCAAGTGTCTAGGGTGATTTCCCTTGTCTGGACTGACAATGAGACAGTCATCTAAGTATCTGTATACAAAGTTGAGACCGCGAAATACTCCGTCAATGAAAAGTTGGAATGTTTGTGCTGCATTCCAGAGGCCGAATGGCATACGTAGAAATTCAAAAAGTTCGAAATGCGCAATGATAGCCGTTTTTGGAGTATCTTCGGGTGCCATCGGGATTAGGTTATACGCTTTAACCAAGTCGATTTTAGAGAATGTAGTTGCGCCAGATAATGTTGCTGTAAAATCGTGTATGTGAGGCAATGGGTAGCAATCAGGAGTTGTTTTAGCGTTCCCTCGCCAGTAATCACCGGTGGATCGCCAATCGTTGCTATCCTTTTACGTAACCATATGCAGTGGGGATGATCATGGGTAATTCAATGGTCAAAAGATGCCAAGTCTGAGCATATGGTCGAACTCATTTCTAGCGAGTCGTAGTTTGTTAGGAGCAAGTCGTCGTGCTTCAGATGTCATGGGTTGTCCTAAGGTTATGCTGTGGTGCATAAAATTGCTGGTTATTCACGGTAGATCGCCAGACGGGCAACAAATTTCCGGATGATTTTAGGCTGAAAAGTTCGATCAAGGATTTGGTTCATCATAAAGAGTGACGAGTTTGACATACGTAGAAGATGCCTTTGATAGACAGATTAGTAGAATTTTTATTCAGTCGATTCAAGTGGACGTCTACGAGTAAATCATGATGGTTAAGTGGGTCCGTGACAATAATGGGCATTGTGACGTAAGTGAGAAGGAAAATCCACTGAATAGGTTTGTGTAAACCTACGTTCAGATAGACGTATTTCCTACGAAATGTTGCGATTGGTTTTCTATTTGCAGCCTGTAAGTTGAAGGCAGGTTCCTTCTGTCGATCTGCTGCTGTCGGCGCCTGTGTCGACTGAGTTCCGGGTCTGGTTGATTACATCATGAATGTTAAGTAGGCGACTAGTGCCACCGGCGACGGTTGCCACTAACGCGTGCCGGTGGGATAGTTTCCCATAGTCTTTACAACATTGCCAAAATTACAAGATTTTCGTCAACATTCAGCTTCCTGGCCATAGGTATTGTGATACCAACGCCAGTCAGTGTTTTTTAGTGAACGTGGCTTGGATTTAGATCAACCACGTGGGTTTCGCTGTTGAGGGGTGTTGGGACGACGATGGGAGGAGTTACAGAGTATATTTGACCTAAGTAGCTGCTGGACGGAGTTGCATAACTCTATCACTGCAGTGTCCCTACTCGAAGTCTGTTTGGCAACTGAGCATATGTGTAATTACCCACCGCTACACTTCTCTTGATCTTGTATTTATAAATAACTGCAGAATATGTGAAGCTCTTAAAAGAGCCCCACTGTTTAACTCCCATCATTGTATTGTACGGGTTTTACAAAAATTTATGCAAAGTTACACAAGAGAACCTTTTCACACCTGTCCGAGAAAATTGTACATCGATGTTACTCTAAGGAGAATGTTCAGAATCTTAGGAGCATGCTCAAAGAAACAAGGTGGGACTTGTTCAATGAAGACTCTGTTGATGACACTATCTCTAATATTACATGTTATCTCAAATTTCGTCTTGACACCTGTTGTCCCAGAGAAACACTCTTCATCAGATTTGACCGTTTCTCCTCCCCTCAACTTAAAAAGCTTCGCAGACAGAATGAAAAGTTATATAAAATGAAGGATAACATTGGTTTGAAAAGAATGAACATCCTAATCAAGTCTGAAATGCACAGATTGAATTCAATTTATAACCAGAAGTTTATATCCTGTTAAAATGCCTCTAATATACGGAAACTTTTCGAAGAAATTAC